TCCAGGTTTCAGTCAATCCTGTGGCAACCTCCTACTCAAGCATAGTGTCTGGTATGCATTGGTAACCAAGTAAACATTCTTTGAAGGGAAAATTTATTTCTCAGTGAGCTGTGACAGTCTTTCTTAGCATTCTCATTTTATTGGGCTGGATTCTACCTTTATATGGTGAAGTTCTGATTCCTCAAACCACTACAGATACACAGAGAGAATGTCATCACGTGAACATGAGGAAGAGGTTGGGTGACAAATATAGAAGCTGGGGTGTCATCAAAGCGCCAGTTTCTGGAAGAGAGGCCTGCTGCGATCTTCCCTCACAGCCCTCCCAGGGACCCAGACCTACCCACACCTTGATTTTGGACTTGAAACTTCCAAACATCCGAGAAAATCTATTTCCTATTTGAACACCACCCTAGAAAACTAAAAGCAGAGACCAAGTGGGGACCTTCACTGCATTTGTTTCAGAGTCCTCTTAAATCTTCAAGTTTCTTTTCTTGAGAACATATTTGTTTGGTTGGAAGTGAGACCCCAGCCCCCTGACAACCCTATATCCAAGGAATCTGGGATGCTTGGTTGTAAGTGAGACCCCAGCCCCTGGCATCCATTTCAAGCCCCCCTCCCCAGGGTGTTGCCTTAGTCCGGGACTCCACTTCTGGGAAAGCCCATCAAGCAGTGACCCCCTCCACAGGGAGGGTCAAGAAAGCCCTCCAAGTGGTGACCCCTCCTCTGGGAGGGTCAGGACCACTCCCACAGGCTATTTAGGCTGCCCCTGCCCCAGAGAATGAACACGTGGTGCCCGGGTTTTGTGTGGTCTTCCCTTCTCTCTCTTCCCTTCACCATGCTTTCCCGGTACCATTGGGAGGACTGCATTAAACATGGGCATCTTTTATTTGGTCTGATTTGGTCTGATTGGAATTATTTGCGTCGGCTGAGAGGCTTGTCTAAGAAATATTCCTAACAATATTCTGTCTCTTTTCTTTTTTGCTGAATCCTGAAAGTTCACAGCTTCTTAGAATACATCTCTGGTTGTGGGGAATAATACCATTTTCATCACTGAGGTCCCAGTAGGCTCTGAGGCCCAGGCTGAGGATAATATAGACATGGCTGGGTAAGCATGCTATAGGCTTCCCAGTCCTCAGCACATCTTTTCCAGGGGATAACAGGTACCATTTGCACAGAAGCCTGGATGAGAGTTGAAAGCAAAAGCAGCCCTGCAGGCCCTGTTATGGGACAGAATCATTATTATGCCATGAGTCAGTGAGAAGGAGCAGACAGTGAGTCCTGAGGTGGTCCTAACCTGTATATGCAAATTGGGAAATTCAACAGGCTGTTCAACTTGTCCTACACGGAGCATCTATAACAGATGGATCGTTAGGGGTTGCCCTGGTTGCTATGGAGACAGTAGGATAAGGAAGGTTAGGGAACAACACAGCTATTCATGTAACTTCTCATGAGTCCACTTCTTATACAGTGGAGCACCTCTGAGGTCATCTCATTTACTTCTCTGTTCATAGGCAGAAGAGCACCCCTTGAAGCCACACTTTGTTCCCACGGTTGGGCACAGACCATCACAGATCCTTCTTCCCTCTCTGTTCTAGAAGGATCATATAATTAGTGGCTTGGGTGGCCTGCTCCAAGTGGTGGTGCTGAGGACAACATATTGTCTGAAGATAAAGGAGATATATGTAAAGATTATCAATACATAGAAGTCCCATAATCATGAGAAAGTTGAAGAAAATGAGTTGATTCCTCTTTAGATGACTTTAGATGACTTTGAGTCTTTTTTTTTTTTTTTTTTTTTTTTTGGTTTTTCGAGACAGGGTTTCTCTGTGGTTTTGCAGCCTGTCCTGGAACTAGCTCTTGTAGACCAGGCTGGCCTCGAACTCACAGAGATCCGCCTGCCTCTGCCTCCCGAGTGCTGGGATTAAAGGCGTGTGCCACCACCGCCCGGCTAAAGATGACTTTGAACAAATTATTTATTCTTGCAAAATAATGTCACAGAAAAGGGTACACAAAGGGGGCATTTTATCAGGAGGTCCTCAGGGTTGTTTTGGTGTTGTAAACACTGAGTTTTTGGTTAAGGTGGGGGAGGATTGGCCAGTTTTCTTCTTTGAGAAGCTACTGTTGTTCTCATTGCAGTTAATTATGTGAAGATAGCTCAAGATTGTGTAATTCCCTATTTCTCATCAACTTTCACTTTATCTTTTCGTCTAAGGACCATCCTTGCCTGAAACAGTTACAGTATGCACGTTAAAGTTGTGAATTTCTTTTTTCATAATTCTTTCTCTGTTTATTAGTTGGGATTCTAGTGTGAAGACACATCTCCCCTCCTATTAAATGTTTTTCTGTTCACATTAGCAATAACTGTGGATTCTTCCCCTCAGATCCCCTCAGCTTGGTTTCTGTGCTCTTTTTCTTTTAATGGTTCTTGTCCAAATTATCCAGCCTGAATTAAACCATGAGGAAACATTAGGTACATCCAAATTGAGGGACACTGATAACATAACTGGCCTAGACTCTTTAATACCATGAAGGTCACTGAAGGGCATTATTAGGACTATAGATTAAAAGACTAAAGGGACAAGACAATGTCATAATGTAACATCACATTGGCTCTCAGACCTCAGATTGGATTTTGGACCAGAGAAAGGATGTCACTGTGACAATTGGGAAAATGCTAATAAGGCATGTGTGTCAGATGATATTACTGGATCAACATTAACTGGTAATTACATTATGCTTCTGTACAATGATAATTTTGGAAAACCTGGGTAAACAGGATATGAATGCTCTTTGTAGTACTTTTCTATCTATTTATAAATATGAAATTATTTCCTAAGTTACCAGTTAGAAGTAACAGAAAATGACTTGCAGGTGGTCTTGTGGGGGTAAAGGATACCGTATCAAAGAAAACAGGACAGTTAACGGTCTAGTCATTCCAGGCCTGGCTACTCCCTGCCATATGTCCTACCTAGAGTGATGTCCCTGAGTGGGTTTGGAGCATAGCACAGGTGTGTCTCTTCCCAAAGATACCCTTTATTATCAATGTCCTCAACATGAAAATTACCATTACGAGTCTTGGAACACCTTCTTTTGCTGATACATTCATTGGAAAAATCAATTATAGCCTAATTACCTCAGGAGGTTAATTAGCCTCCTGTAATTTGGGTGTCCTCTGTGAACCCAGCAGCCTGTCAGTCCCCAGTCTGTGACTAGAGGCAGGGGCTTCCCTTAGAGCTTATAGAAGCTTCAGCCAGGCTGAGAGCAGACACGAGGCTTTCTAGTTTGTGGTGGTAGGAAGTGCTTGCTGATGACAGACTCTCCCCTGATTTAAGCTCCGAACACCGTAGGTATTGACAGCAGTAAGACATATTGCAAAATATGGGACGATAAAAGTTTTCAGGCTGTAAGTTGGCAGAAACCACTAGAAGAGATAAGGCATAGAGCCCTGAAGACTTCAAGATGCTAGCTGTAGGAGGGGAGGGGCTGAAGCAAACCCCTTTTACATTTTCTTCCATCCAAAAAGTCAGCAGGCATGGCCCCTGGTCACATTTGAATGTAAGCTCCTACTAAAGTCACTTCCTGTTTGGGAGCAGGGTCTAAGCTATCACAGAGGCACCATGATACAGCAATTTTCTCCCCTCCATATCAACTGCACTTTTCTCCACAGACACTCACGTACAAAGCAGGGCACGCTGCACCTCCTTCCCATGGTCCTGTGTTCAACTCTCTGGAACTTTGGGGCCTCACCTTAGTGACTTGGGGGTTGAAGCACTTGACACAGTATCCCTTCACATGGGGTGGGGGTCACTTCTATCTGGTCTATACGAGCAATGGAATGGATATTGATTAAGGTGAAGCACTACTAATCATATATTCCTTTGGTAAATCATGAAGAATTTTAAGGTAATTTTGTCATGGAATCTGGGTTTAAAGGCTGGTGCTGCCTTTTATCTGCTGTGTGAATTTGGGACTCGCTTTTTTTCTCTGTGAAATGGAGCTGAGAAAACTTAATTTTCTACAGTTGCTATAAAAATTAAATCTATCAAAGCCAAGCATGTTAAATAAATATCTGCTTCCCGTTCAAACAGTCTATGCAAAGGCTACAGCATCCGTTGATTTTAAAGTTTTTGTTTTTGGACTGAGACTTTGATTGGGTCAGAAAGGAGTTCAAGAAGTTTCCTAATATTCCACGACACAGAAAAGGAGCATGGTTTTGGGGGAAACGCTGCATCAGCTCTGGGAGGATGAGACAGGAACAGTTTCTCTCTGGCATCATCAGCTCTGCAGGCCACCGTGGAACCTGCCAAGGCCTTTGTTCTTAATAGAGAATGCACAATTTAGAGTCAAAGAAAAGTAACGGTTATTGACTGGAGATCAGCTAGCAGCAAGCACGTTAAATACGACTGTGCCTCTCCAGACCCCTCGCATCCAAGCAGCTGTTATTTCTCTCCATATCACCAATTCATCTTCCTTTGCAATTTGCTATTTTGGAAACATAATTTTTTCCAATATAATTAATTACTTTATTTACATCCATGAAAATGCACAAAACAAATTGGGACCAAGAAAAACTCCTGAGAAACAGTATGTAGCTAACATATGGCCTGTCTACTTCTTCGGTTTCCAATTTTGTACCTCTGAACTAATTGTAATTCCCCAAATAGCATCTCTGCTGAGAAACGCCAAAGCTGCTTTCTGAAATGTTCCTTTACCATGGAGTAAAGGTCTTGTCCCTACCTGGCTCAGCCTTCTACCTTGCCCCAGCTGGGAAGCTAGGCTGACTCTGCCTCCTTCATATACATGGGTATACAGATAAGTATTCCCATCATGCACTGCACTGTGGTATAGACCATACTCCTGTTCTAGACCATTGGCACACACACACACAAGACCTCCCATATTTTTCCACCAAATATACCCTCTTCAGGAATTCATCCATAAGTACATTTCTTTCCTATATCCCCAGCCGCCCTTTTCTCTTTAGGAAGCTGGAGACTTACCTCTGTGATTTGGGGGTTGGAACATTTGACGTTGTGGCTGGACCAGTCGAGCCAAGGGCTAGAAGTGCTGGGGCAGTGTTGGTGGAGGGTACACCTGCGTTCATCGCTGCACCAGCCACACTCAAACTTGTGATCAGCCTTGAGACAGAGGCCACAGCTCTCCCGCTGGGCTGCACACTTGTAGAGATGAACTGCAAAGAGAGGGGGCTGTCACGGACAGGCCTGCAGAGGCTCCATCCCATACTGTCTGTTTGTAGGTACACAGATCTGCCCAACCACAGACAACATCGGGGATCACCACCACTGCACGAGCAAAACATGGAGAGTGAATGAGGTGCCTAAGCAGTCATCTATAGGCACAGCAGAAAATAACGGGTTAAATGTTTCTGCTTCTAGACTGAATCATATCCCTGCTTTAACTGCGAATTCTCTACTTCCCAGCACTGTGACAAAGTATTTAACATCTCTGAATCTTGTTTACCTATTTCTCCCATGGAAATCATAGTTAGTTTGGGGCAGGTTTGAATGAGATGTTATACAGTGAGTGCTTGGCAATGCCTGGGATATACTAGATGCTATTACACACCTATTTTCTTTGAACTCTAACAGTGTTCTTAAGCGACGTGGGCTCATTTCTTCATTGAAGGTAAAAATAAAGCCCAAAGGAGACATGTTGACTGTCCCAGCTTACTGTGGGTACTGATTTAAAGCTTGCTGATGATGGGTCCTGAGAAGAGAGGAATCTCAGTTGGCACCCTGGAAATGGTGTGTGTGGGGGAACAGAGTCAGCTTGTGCTCAAAGAAAGCCCAGGTGACTGAGGTAGGAGGCATGCTAGCAAGGAAAGTATGACACAACCCTATTCACAGCCAGTGTAGATGAAGAATGTGTCCTCAGAGAGGACAAACTAGTGCTCAATAGGTCACATGATCGTTCTGCAACTCTTTTGCTTTGAATTTTCTCTAACTGACTTGGAGACCCTAGGGGAACTAGCTATCACGTATAGTTGTACCATGAGCCCAGGGTTTAGTCCTTTCTTGTTAGTGCTGGGAATTTAGAGCTCCAAGCGAATTCTCCAAATACAAAAATCTCCTCATGGATTCATCTTCTAAAAATAGATACAACTGTAACATGTATAGACTGATATTCTGTTACCATTACTTAATAACTAGAATGTACACTCTCTTCCCAACATCTATATTCAATTATACATTGTAAGTCATCCAGAAATGATTTAGGTATTTGTGGTTAGGTGTAGATATTATGCCATTGGGTGTGGGTATTCTAGGGGTTCCTGAAAATAATCCCATGGTGGATACTGAGAAATGACTCAGAAAGTCACTTCTCATCTTTTCCAGCCAAATTATCTTAAGCTTTTGTGACCTATCCGTTCGCCTCTGCTGGAGGTCAGGTGCATGCCCCAGGGGAGAGGCAGTTTTCATTTTCCCATAGCATGCCCTGACACCTCTGTTCCATTCAGCTTCTCTGTCCAGATGCACAGACCATTCACCACTCTAAGTCCTAAGTACTCTTATGCCTGTGGTCCCCAAGGCACAAGACAGGCAAAGACAATCTGAAACTGAGCAAGTACTGGTAAGGCATTTATAAATCTGGACCTTGTGGTCTTTAGCCATAAGCTCTGCAAATCCTCAGCAAGACCTTAAATAGTGGGCTTCCTTTTCTTTAGGGCCTGTGTGAAGACACTAAGATGTACTTTAAACTTGCATGGTTCAATTAGAAGCACTAGCAGTAGAACTTGGTTTGCTAAGTTGGGGAACCTGAGCACTTAAACACAGTATCCCACTGAACCCAATTCATGTACAACTTTCTCTGACACCAAGGATCTAGTAGAAACATGAGTGAAGGCAGGAGGAGGCTGCTCGGGCACCCGCAGAACCTTGTAGATGTCAGGGGAGTCTGATGTACCAGTCTGGTCATTTTCCTCCAGGTTCTGGGTACAACCTCTAGGATCTAACTGATCTAACTTGTCAAAGAACATATCTTTTATTGTCTAGTGGTGAAAAAGATCTAGTCTAGGAGCAAGCAAACACAAACTACCTGTACTGAAGTCTGTCTTGCAATGTAGGATTTTAATGGTGTTATCTGGGACAAGAAGCTGTATTCCACAGATGCTGAAGCACCTTCAGATTTTGCCATTCCCTTAACTGACCCCCTGATGCCCAGGCACGACCCAGGAGTTGAGGCAGAGGCTAATGACAATTCTATTTACTTGAAGCATAACAGTATATATGCCTCCTGATGGATGAAGGGCTTCAAATCCCACCCAGAGCCCAGCAGCAGTGGCAACAGGTCCTCATCTTGGTGTGTACTAACTTGTAGGCCTTCTCTGAAATCAGACAGTCTCAGCACTTACTATATGACTCAGCTTCACCATCCATAGGATGAAGCACACATTTAGAGTTACTGAGATAAATAATAAAAACAATTCAAATAAATTACCTAATGAATACATTATACGACATGTGTTCAGTAGTTGGGTCATTCTGCCAGGACCTGCTTTCTGGACAAGTACAATGAGAACCTACAGAACAGGAGCCTTAGAGTCTTCCTCCTGCCAGCCCCCTTACTGAGCTTCTGTGCTCCAGATGTGAGCCTGATCTCAAAACTAGAGCACAGACATATAAGCCTTCTTTGTGCTGTCACAGTGACCAGGACTGAGAACAGGGGAAGGAAAGCCTGCATGAAAGCAATATCTCCATTTCTAGGGAAGCTGACAGGACACTCTGCCTGCTGTTTTCCTAGGTCAGGTTGCATAGATATTTCAAAGCTACCAGGAGCCACAGAATAGTGCGGAAGAATGGGCAGCTGCCTGGAGGATGTACTGGTTGTAATAAAATGGGGTTCCCAACAGGACTCCTCTGATGGCTTCAAATGTTGCTTTAGGAGTCTCTGAAGAGCTCTGCTGGCAGAGGGAGTGTGCTATTCAAGGCACAGCAGCAGTCTGCTCTGATCTCTACAACACAGCCTTTCCCAAGGTCATGAATAGGTCAAACTTGCACCCAGAAGTAACTGCTTACCTTTCAGGTCCTGAGGGTTGTCAATGATGAAGTTGCCATTCCACACCACAGCAAAGTCCACTGCTAGGTTGCTGATGTCCATTCCATCATACTGGTACTGTGGGGAGAGGACAGGAGCACACATGTCTGTCATAGGAAGCCAGCGTGCAAAGCAACTCCTCACGCTGCCCAAAGGGACCCTATGACACCTTGTTCCTGACTTGTAGTCAGTAAGGCCACCAGGAGCTGGCCTAAGGCTCTGGCTTCACCTTCAGTTCTTTCTGAAATCTGAAAGAGCTCAGGTCTCCATCTCTACCCCTTTCTCCTGCTGAATCCATCAGCTCTGAACACACTTGATGAAGGCTCTCCCTGTGTACTGGTTGAGTCTGTATCCAAACAGAACGTTGCTTTCTCCCTACAACTGCCACTCTTTCAGCTTAACTCTGTTCATTTAAGTCTAGCTCTCATTCATCCTCCCCATGTCCTTTCTTATGTCCCTCCCAGTCGTCCCCACCCCCAGCCTTGGAATCCTGATATTGCCATTTTCTGTCTTTAGTCCGGTACTTCCCAGGAACTACAATGCATTCTTTCGTGGGTCCTCTTTTAAGGACTTAATGTCCTCACTGCTCTCTCACATCTACATATACAGGGGATGTGGCAACGGATGTAGAGTGGCTAGCTTGTCTCTCAGGTGTATGTGACGAGTTTTTGATGTGTTTGTGTGCTCAGGTGTATGTATGTGCCTTATGCATATGGTGGCCAGAGGTTGGGGCTGGGTGTCTTCTTTCTTCATTCTCCCAGTTTCTGAGATTGGGCTGGAGTTCATAGATTTTGCTAGACTAGCTGTCCAATGTGTTCCAACAATCTTCCGCTATTCCACCCCAGCACTGGGATTATAGTTGTCTTTGTGATCAGCATTTTATGTGGGTATGGGGGATCCAAGTATAGGTCCTTAAGCTTGGGAGGCAGACCCTGCACTGACTGTGCTATCTCCCAGCCTCCTCCTCTACCTTGGCAGATAAGTTTTACTTGGATTAGTGTCTAATACAGAAAGTGATCACATCTTCTAGGGTATCCCAGAGCATACCAGAAAAAAATCCCTAGAGAGGCTAAGTCTTCTGTTCCTCTGACCTCACAGAGGACCTTCAAGCCCTTCGCAACCTCCTGGGTGGCTAGTCCCTGCGGCACTCTGTTAAGTCTCCTGGACAGTCCCTCTTTATGGCTGCCCATTTCTGACCATGGGCACTTAGCTCTGGAGGGCATGTCACCATTGCTCTCCTGCCCAGCCTTCCATTGCCTTCTTCCTTTGTTGTGTTCTCTTTCTCAGTCTGGCTTCCTGCGCACTTGGCACCGATTACAAATTCTATCAAACGCTTGTGACCCCAGAATCTGACAGCTCCCTGATAAGAGGCCTAGATTCTCTTTATCTCTCCCAGGCGAATTAGCTTCCCTCAACACCTCTGTCACGTCTCTCATCTCTGAGCTGACCCCCCACAGTCAGAGACAGGGAGTTGGAAGATAAAAGATCTTCTCTGGGCTGAAATTATAATTAAACACCTTGTGCTTTTTCTGTCCACCATTCTGGGAAGGTTTAACCCTTGTGGCTCCTGAAATGCTGCATCTCCTTCCTCTCCTCCTACACTTTTCTGTCTATCCTCATGCATACCACTGTCCTAATACATTGCATAGGGATAGAATATCGGGTGGGGTTGATGTCCTTTTGGCAGAAGTTTTCCCAATAGCAACAATGTGTTCTTTAAATTCAGAAGGAAGTTCCAAATTTCAACTTCTGCCATTAGGGTTTTCTTTGAGGGTTCTCTCTTCCGAGAACATGGCTCACTGGCTCAGGGTGCTTACAGGTTTCTCTGTCCCTGGTAATATGGGCGCTGCCTGTGATCCTACATGATCTAAAGTCTTGGCATATGTGTGAGCTGCTTACCGAGCTATTTTGGCACTGCACACTGGAACTGTTGAAGCGCAGGGCAGGGACTCGGTGAACAGCCCCCTGGATGTTGAGCACGCACTCATAGCCCCGCTGGCCAGACTGGGGCTGGGGAAGGTTCCGGGCCTTGAGGGTGATTGGTTTCACTTCTCCAACTGGGATCAGAATCTCCTCTGTGGGCACAAGCTGGGGACAGTCCTAAGCGAGCAAGCAGAGACCTTCATTAGTTCTCAAAGTTGAGCCCAGATAGAGGCAGAACCTACAGCCAGTTAGAACGTTCCTGTGTCCAAGTGAATTGCCCAAGAGAAGACCTGCATCTTTTTTTATGGGACATGTTGAATCAGTAGGCAATGAAATCTTTTCTTCCTACTGGGCTTTGATTTTGTCAACACCATTCCACAAACCACCCTAATCTTGGGGGTGTGTATTACAATTTAGGAATTAATTTTCAAACACCAGTATGACAAACTGTGGTTTTTATCTCTGGTGAGTAATTGTAAGAGCCTTCGTGGGTTTGGGTGTTCGTGTCCCCAGCTCAGAAACCCCACCTCTGGTTTTATCTGGTTCCCCAGCCCATTGGCCATTTGCATTGTCTGGTGCCGGAGACAGCTGTTATCTACAGCTTCAGCATCTAAGTTCCAGTTGAGCTAGGCTTCCCAGGAGGGGGACCAAGTACCCAACCCAACCTCCTGGGTGTGCTCTAAGTCCTAGCTCTGGCTTTTTATCTCATTTCATTATATGTGTGAACACTATGCTGCTTTGGAAAACAAAAACCAAATAGAGAAATGTAGTAAGGTGGGGCCATGAGAAGGGAGAGAGAGAGAGAGAGAGAGAGAGAGAGAGAGAGAGAGAGAGAGAGAGATAGAGATATCAATTTTCCTCGCTTGTGTGGAGGCAGAGGTCCAACACCTTATGGATTGTTGACTTCTTCCTCCCTACAGGAAAGACTGGAGTCTTGTTGCCTTCTCTGCCCCTTACAGGGGGGATGTGGAAACTCTTCACATGCAAACATGTCTAATAGCCAGGGATCAGCTAGAGAGTTCTTGAAGGAGGCTCCAGCTTCCTTGTCCTCTGGACACTCACTTCTAGAAGGACTTGGGAACATGTTGGGGCTCATGTGGCTACAAGGCTTACAGGGGTACTGCCAGGTATTTGCTGTCTGAGTAGCCAAACTACTGTATTTTCTCAAGATATGGACAGTCTCAAGACTCCAGATAACTCCCAAAGCCATTCCTTATGTAACACAGGCTGTTGAACAATTGTAATCTCTACTGAAGATTTGCAGAGATGGTCAGCTCTCTGTGTGGACATACACAGTCCCTTCTTTTTTTAATCCTCCTCCTCCTCCTTTTCCTCTTCTCCCTCTTCCTCCTCCTCTTCCTTCTTCTTTCTTTCTTTCTTTCTTTCTTTCTTTTTTTTTTCAAATTCCAGCTGCAAAAACCCCGCCCATTCTTGTACATCAAAGTCTGGACATTCTGAACACAGAGTTCTGTGGTGCCATTTCTCGTACTGACACCAAACCCGGGTCTTTGTGCATGCTTTTCTCCCTACCAAAGACTGACTTTTATCCACCACTGCCATCTTCCTCCTGCCCTCTATTCCACCTCAACTTAATCAGATAGCTGTTGATCAAATGCCCAGCCTTCCAACTTGGCTCAGGAAGTCTGGCCAGACCCTTTCCTGCACTGGCTTCAGGTAGAACTCTAGGTATTGCCCCATGTTTGCCCTGAATCCATGGAGCCACAACTCCTGTGGAGTATTTATTTTATTTTATTTTTCTGGGCTGTGATCATCTCAAGGACTGAGCCTGAACCTTTCCACTCCACATTCCAAGTCTTCATCTTACGTCAGATGTATAGTGGGTACTAAGCCATTGTTTGCAGGAGGGTGAATGTAAAGAAGAAAATAAAGTAATACACAGAAGAATTTTTTAGTTTCTTTTTAATTCCAACATTGGAGACTGGTAAGTGATAAGGGAGACTCAAGAAGCAACTTGATTCCCAAGCTAGGACTACAGATGGCCATGGTTTCTGGAGCTCCAGAATTAGCTAAAGGCACAGACTTATCTATTCAGGAGTGTGACCATTTACACAGCTGGAACCTGAGGAATTTCTTATTGAGACCTATCTGGGAGGAATAGAAAGACTCCAGGGTAAGCTGGGCCACTCCTGCCTGCTAGCCACTGCATGGGAGGACTCCAGCAAGAAGCATTTCTCCGAGGGACTGGATCAGCTGGAATACCAGAACAGATGGGTCCCAGTTCAGGTGCCAGGTGCTCATGCTGCTGACTCATAAACCTGTTCTTAACTGCTCTTTTCCTTTCATCCCCTGCAGGCACTTTTGACAGAGCCTTTCACAGATTCATAGCCAGGAAACCCAGGCATCCCACTAAAAAGAAGCATATTCAGTCAGCAACTAAAAATCTAGCCACAATCTAACAGGTTAGAATTTATGATAGAGGAGAGTCTAATGTATAATTTTTGTGTGTGTGCGTGTGTGTGCGTGTGTGTGTGTGTGTGTGCGTGTCTGTGTGTGCGTGTGTGTGTCTGTGTGTGTGTCTGTGTGTGTGCGTGTCTGTGTGCGTGTGTGTGTACGTGTCTGTGTGTGTGTGTCTGTGTGTGTGCGTGTCTGTGTGCATGTGCGTGTGTGTGTGTCTGTGTGTGTGTGTGCGTGTCTGTGTGTGTGTGTGTCTGTGTGTGTGCGTGTCTGTGTGCGTGTGTGTGTACGTGTCTGTGTGTGTGTGTGCGTGTCTGTGTGTGTGTGTGCGTGTCTGTGCGTGTGTGTGTGTGTCTGTGTGTGTGCGTGTCTGTGTGTGTGTGTGTGCGTGTGTGTGTGCGTGTCTGTGTGTGTGTGTGTGCGTGTCTGTGCGTGTGTGTATGCGTGTGTGTGTGTGTGTGCGTGTCTGTGTGTGTGTGTGTGTGTGTGTGTGTGAAAGAGAGAGGGGGGAGGGAGGGAGAGAGGGAGAGAGGGAGGGAGAGGAGAAAAAAGACAGACACACAGATTTGGAACCAACTGCTCTAAAGGACAAGTTCTTGTTTCTCTAATGGGTTCAGAAAACAAATTTAAATTTCAGGAGGCCTAGACTCCTAAAGATATGCTTTTGAAGTATGATGTCTCAGGTCAGCAAATAAGACTGTAAAATCCTTTAAACTTTTAATGACAAAAATCTTCCTATAAATGTACCTCAGTATCCATGGATCCCAACAGCCAAGGACCAAAGATATTTGAAAAATAAAAGTTATACCTGTATTACATACAAGGTCCCCACTGTGATTATTTCCCAAATAAAGAAAGCAGCTACTCATACAGCATTGATACAGAGTGATAGATTCTGAATAATCTAAAGATCATTTAAGGTACAGAACAGAATGTGTATGGTTTGATGAAAACATCACACGGTTTAGCAGAAGGGACTTGGTATCTGTAAAGGGTTCTGGAACCAGTCCTTGTCCCCTATGGCTCTGGAGGGATAATAATATACTCAATGTACATCCAGCTTAGAGGTTGAAAAGTCACAGGCAGAAGTTATATATAAGTTACATTTTTCAAATAATAGCCTAAAACTTTAGAAAACTTCCCCATGCTCTTTTAGGCCTTTTAAAATTAGTTTTAAAGACAGTGAACAGGCTCTTCCCTAATGCCTAAACATGCTCAAGATTGGCCTAGTAGCAAAAGGATGCACTGGGCTTTGCTTATTTGGCAGTTGTTCTGGGGCCAGATAGAAAAGGGCTTTTCTTCTCTTCCCAGGATAGAAAGAAGTGATTGGCATTCCAAGCACACAACCTGCATCTTTGGCAACAAGAAAGACATAGACCTGGTCCGTGAGATGGATCCATGGGATCATAGCAAAGGGCAGGAGCTTGGGATAGAAATGACTATGGGAAGACCAAGGGAAGAGGCAAGAGAATTGGCCACCAGGAAGTCTCAGCGGTGTTGGAACTTCAGTACATCTGGGGCTTTGGAAGATGATATGTTCCATCTGAAGTCATTCCTAGGCCACTTGTTTCTATGTATACACACAGACACACAGACACACATACACACACACACATACACACACACACACACACACGATGGAGTGAAAGAGAGAAAGGAAGGGGGAGAGCAAGGAGAGAGGGAAAGAGAGAATGTTTGTCCTAAGGACAAGAAAGCTAATAACCATAAAACTTTTTTTTTAGAATGTTAAGATGTTCATTAACATTCTTAAAATACTTAAGGCCCCTGCTGGCCCTGCAGACTTTCCAGTAACAACTTTAGGTCATCTTATCTCCTCTGTCTATCTATCCCCATTGGAGCCAAATCTTCTCAGCAGGTGTCTCAGTTTAAATGAAGGTAAACAGATGTCCTGTTTGAGAACAACCCAGGGCTGGGTAAGAGGCAGGGCCAGCCACAGCCTTGCTGCCCACTCAATTGGGATGGGAACCCCTGATTTTGTGCTGGGAACCTGTTAGTCCTCAAAAGGACTTCTTCCAGGTGGAAATGGCATTATCTTCACCCACTGGACTTCAAAGAGTGAGAGCAGCCATCGTCCTGGGAAGCTAATCTGATTTATTTGGTTCTATCTTTCACTTGGGATGGGTGTAAAAAAGATATTTATGTATCTACATCTCACTAGGCCTGTTCCAGCTGTGGGGCGAGATACACTTTCAAGGTTGATAGCTGTACCTATTCCTGTGCACACTACCTGCTAACATTGTGTTGCAGGAAGATAGAGGTTTAGGTAGTCTTCAGAAAGCTGGAGGGAGGTCTCTGACTGGGAGAGGATGTGGAAAAGATGAAGCTCAGCACCTTCAAAGGCCTTGAGAGATGATCCGAGTGAAGCTCTGCTTCTTCATGAACAAAATGGTGTTAGTAACACCTAACAACTAGATTACATGAAAGAGGGTATGCAGTGATTGTGTGATAACAGGCTGGGCCAACAACTGTTAATATTTCTTCTATATGTACATATATGGCAGAATCAGGAGATTCAAGCTGTATTCAAAGCCACTTTGGACTGAGTTCTGACATCAGTGTTTGTTAGACCAACCATCAGAGGAATACTGAACTTCAGTTTTGTCTGTCACAGAATGAGCTTAATAAATAGTCAAGAAAAAATGAAATTGATTCACAGGTAAAGGTGATGCACACATGAAAAATGCCCAATAGATGTAAGCTACTATATTCCTGTTTCAGAATTGCATGTGCTGTGGCTCAACCTATCAGTTCTTCCTTGTCAGGCCCAAGCATATTGGCCCAGCAGCTTCTGGAAGGATGTGGGTAGATAAACATCTGAAAAAGGCCCTCTGACTTTTCCATTGGAAGTTTTTCCATTTGTGGAGATAGATTTGGTGTTCGTCCAGCCACAACTGAGCCCTCATGACCAAAAGCAAGGGGTCAGATCAAAGTCATGCCTGCAAACATAATGGTGGCCATGGAGACCAACATGCTCACAGGCACCGATTTTCTGAGAGAGCAAACTAGTCAGTTTTTTCTGGATGCTGAATTCTCCATAGCCTTGGGCAATGCCCCTAAATTGTTGGCATTCTGGTTACTACAGATGTCAAGTAAGAGTTATGTGAAACTGCATTCAGCTTAGAGAATTAACTGAAATGCCATCTGTCAATGGTTCTCAATCTTCAGTGTCATCTGGGATAGCACCCAACAATTTGAATTTCTAGCGACTTTGCAGGTGATGCTGATGGCACAGTCCTAGGAAGGCTCACTTGAGAACTGTGCCACAGGTGCAGAACTCTGAACACATGAGGCGTGACCGCCGCAGTGCTGCTAATCGGTGGTGCTAATTGGCAGTGCTAATCAGTGATACGTTGCTTCTACCAAGTATACAGGCATGAAATTTTGATTCAAATTTGGAGGAGGGGCTTGATGGAATTGGAAAAAAGATATTCTAGTAACCAAAAAAAAAAAAAAAAAAGAAAGATATATAAGGATTTACAGCCCCTAAAACAACTTTACCAAAACTGGACATATGCACTAAAACTTTGGGAACAGGGTCACCTAAAGCAGCGCTTTGAACAGAAAAAAAAAAGCTAAGCCTGGAAGCCATTGATCAGGAAGGAATGTGTTGTAAAAAGATTCAGTTGTTTTTTAGGACTTTGAGAAAGTGGCCCTAGCCACTGTGCTGGGAAACTGCCCTCTACTTCCTTTGCTGAGTCAAGCCAGCAGGATAGATACTGAGCTTCCCTCACAGCCTCCATTAGGTCCTGGTGCTATGCCAATAGCCAGCATGCATGAGGAGAAGAGCAGCTCCGTTATAATCCGATGGGGAGATAAAGGGGACAGAACGATGCTGCTTTCCAACTCAAAGCACAGACACCAAAGAAGGAAAATTGGACTGAACCGGTGATGGAAACCCCTGGGTTTGCTCCCAAGATCTTTTGGTGATCACTGAATCCTGAGTAACAAGGAAGCAGTGGCTTCTCTCTAGCCAGCTCTCTGGGACTTTCAAATCTTTCACTTGCCCAGGAGCAGCTATGCGTCAGTGTTCCTTGTGGCAAAGGGGACTGGGCCTGCTTCCAATTAGCCCTCTGGGGCTCAGCCTCGGGTCTCTCCACCATAGTTTATTTGTCTTGCTCTCTGTGACAATCTGCTTGCCCTTGCTCCAGCTGCAGGTCACCCTCAGGCTTGGCTCTGGATCTCCATCTGCCTGCTCGGGTGGCCTCCACAGATACATTGTTGCTCTTTGTCCTGATCTGCACTAGCCCTTCCCAGTTTTCTCTTCCAGTTTCTGAAGGAACTTCAGAACCACAGTGAAGGTGCGTTTCTGAGACACAGAATGCTAAGCTTCCACTGCCCAGACCGTAGCTCTTCTGTAGTGGGCTTGCTTCCCAGGACACTTCCTTCATGGTCTCCCAGGCTGTGTTAACCTCTGCCCTACACCTTCAGCACTTATGCCCCCATCCCCAAAAAGACTAGTTTCAAACTCCCATAGACTCCCAGGCCTGGAATTAATTCCCAATGTCCATTAAGATCAGCGTGGCATTCCAGCGTGCCCAATGACTAGAAAAGAATGTTTTCTAGATTGTCTCAGGGACTGGGTCCCTGGATCTGTCATTCTGAGGCAGCTGTGGGTGGGTCTATCTTAAAACCTAGTTATGGGGCCATCTAAAAAATAAGCATTTTTACTTTCTTAGTACATATAATATGTATCATTTCATAAAAGGTGAATTATTGAATGCCAGACTTATCTATTTCAATAAATTTCAAGGTCTATTTTATGTTTAGCCATTGATGCAACCAGCACAACTGTAAAGATTGGCAGGCCCAAGAAATTCATCTAAAAAGTATCATTGACAGGTAGCTCAGTGAACATCACTTAGACATTCACCATTTATCCCTGTGTGTATACTCTACAAATGTTCACTGGTAAAGGATTAGGATTTACAGATAAGATGTGGTCCATGTTTTCAAGCAGAATATAGCTTAATACAGGAAAGAGATATATCTAGAAAGGCTATATTAGAATATGAAAACGCCATGGCCACTCATTAATATCTGCAAGTTTTCCTAAAATATTGAAAAAGAGGATCTCTCTCTCTCTCTCTCTCTCTCTCTCTCTCTCTCTGTGTGTGTGTGTGTGTGTGTGTGTGTGTGTGTGTGTTAAGCATACAAAGTCTTAATTGTCTAGTCCTAACTGGTAATCCTTGGGCATGAAAAACACTAGACAAAAGAAATGGGAATTGAAGAAGCAGGCTTCATGGAGCATATTGGGGGAAATGTGAGAGAACCAATCAGTGAATAATTACTAAGTGGAATATTCACAGTAAAGATGAACAACATGAAATCTCACTGTGTCAGTGACAAAGGCGGGCCAGACTTCTGGAAGGAGCTTCAACTAGATAATATAATAGGACTTTTGGCAATGCTTGGTGCTTTTTACTAGCTGGATTTCTCTCTGTCTCCAAGGCCACCCACCCAGTAATACATTAGAGTCAAAGAATCATTGAATTTTAGAGTTGGAAGAAAAGTTGGCATGAAAAGATGGTTGAGAGTGAATGTTCTATTGAAGCACAGTAAGTCTACAGCCAAGCAAAGGCTAGGCTCAAAGAATAGACAGCATTCATTACTCTCTCAGAGCATGGAGTCTGTTGGGTGTGCTTCCTCTGAGCTCTTAGTCTTAACTAACAGTCACCTTTACACTCTTAAATGCAGTCTGAGGAGTCTAGCAGATAGAGCCTCTGCTGGGGGCGGGGGATTGGTCACTACCTTCTTGAGTTTATAATATCATTTATTTATAACATGAAGACTCTCTGATAAGGTGACCAAGAAAGGCCAGGATAAAAGATGGTTAAGTCACTGGACAGACCATCTGCAGTGCAAAGGGGCGGATTTTCTGGAATTGCTGTCATGCCACAGAGAACCTTCTTACCTCTGAAACATTGATCCTGCCTTCCTGGAAGGAGCAGGTGGTGGGGTCATGTGTGCAGAGGTTTCGGTACTTGCACCAATGGCAGCGGAAGGCGCTGTTGACACAGGACAGGCACCTGCAAGGAGGAGACAGTGAGAGGGCCAGCCACGCACGCCTGCCATGCAAGAAGGCTATTATCCTTACATCCTAATCTCACTCTTGGGAGGGTAGAGTAGTGGAGCATATGCTAGTGCTGATAACTGGGGATTCTGCATCTGAGATGTTCATGTGGGCAGACAATTAGGGATACACTGGGACTGCAGTGAGAATGACTTAACCTGTAAAACAGTAGTGTGCTAGTATATAAATTTTTAGGAATTTTGCAAGCTAGAATGTCAGTCCGGTGGACTGAAATCGGCTATGGTGGAAGCATTTAAATTATAGAAATTGGTAAATACTATGTGCTATACTTCTAAAAGTCTGATCGCTGATGGTTAATACCAGCACATTTCTTATCAGCCAGAGTAGCTGTAAGAGCACAGAGTCAGAAAAGGCAGATCTGATTACAGTCTTGCTTCTGCTGCCAACACTGATGTCACTCTGAGTAAGTCACTCGCTTCGTGCATTAAAGTTTCTTCATCTGTCTGTAAAAATCATTCCTGGGTAGTCCAGAGGTGTCGAGTGAGATAATGAGCAGGGAATGGGTTTGGAAGGAATAATGTTAAGTGTGATTATTATTTTGAAGAAGTTAAATCACCAGTTATTTCATTCTCTTAAATAGCATTTGATTATTAGTGATTTGGTTCACAGCACCTATGTTACTGACCTTGGGAAAGTTACGGTATGGAATGATGACTTTGCCCCATATCTCTAGTAGTCCTCGCACGGAGCAATAGCCTATGTCTAGGGCATAAACGTTCTTCCCAAAGAGAGCACTTCTTCCTCTTTGGGTTCACCTGGAGGCTCTGTGTGTGTGCAGACCGCTGTCATGGAAATGTACTAAGTGTTTTGGCCTTCCTCCTCCTCAGCTTCTGTATATAATAACTTAGTATAGCTCTGACTTTCAGAACTACACCAAGCTGTTAAAAACAGAAACAGTTCTGCAATCTGGCGCCACCTGGTGGGGTTTGTATTAAGTCTAGGTGGTAGGGGCTTCCATCCAGGGGTCTCAGACTAGAGTGAGGTGTGATGTATATGAGGGGACTTGGTCCATACACACCCCAGAAAGGATTTTTTTCTAATCATGCACACCCCAAAGCTAATCATGTCTAAAATAACTTTTTTATGAGTTTGAATCAATGCTATTTCATGTACTCCATCACTGATATACTCTTAATAATGTCACATGATTCAACAAGTAAATAATAAATATCGACCAGGGTGAAGGAGATGATGTTGGCTGGATGCTAACCCGGCTCTTCCACTGGTTGATTTTGTCACTGTTTTTGCAGCCCTTATCATCTATGGGTCTCAGCTTATCATATTAAAAAGAGGGAACTGAACTTGATACTCTTTTAATTGAATTCCAGGATTGAGTAGAGAAGGGTAAAACAATGTTGAGCAATAAAATAGAATCTTGGCTGTCAAGGAGGCCTGCTTCTTTCTACTAAAACTTGCTGCCTGTGACAACATCTTCCTTGCCATAGAAACTCAATGTGGTGACATCACACTGGATTGCCATGGTGATGCAGGTACCCTCCCAAACAATAGATTCTGCTACCACTGCCTTAGATTCTTCCCTCCAAGAAGTCTGCAATTCCCAAGTAGGGCTATCTGGAGTTGGGATATAGTGGTAGTGGTCATTTTTTATTCAGTTCTGCTTTAGTCTCCTTGGCCTGCCTTTGTTGCCTCTGGCCACTTCCACTTCTTGCCCCTCTTGTCCTATCGTATAATATATATTGAGGGATTCTTGCTCCTCTTGTCCTATCTTATAATATATATTGAGGGATTCTTGCCCCTCTTGTCCTATCGTATAATATATATTGAGGGATTCTTGCCCCTCTTGTCCTATCGTATGATATATATTGAGGGATTCTTGCCCCTCTTGTCCTATCGTATAATATATATTGAGGGATATGCTACACTCTTCTGCTCTTCCAGCCCAGGCCCTCTCACTGGGTGCTGAGAAAGGCTGCTGTCTTTGTCTGTCCTCCTTTGTGGGCATATCCACCCTCAGCATTGGCCGTCAGTTCCTGCCTTCAAAGCCACGGCTAATTACCTGAAGTGAAGACCTCTTCTTTCTTACAGCTCCTAGGTCAGGACCCTTTTCTTGACATCCTAACTTTAGAACTGGGGTAGAGTGTACTGGGGTGGAGCCAAAGGAATGAGGTAAGGGGCTGTGGTAAGTGACTGTCATTCAAATGAACATGTACCAGCCCCCCCAGCCCCCGAGACGACAATGTGACTACTGCACAAGTCTTGTCCTAGAGGAAGTGGAACCTTATACTCATATCCAGACCCAGACAAGGTTCCTTCCGAGGCATGCTTACAGTTGGTGGGCACTGCAGTTATAGAACTTGAACTCGGTGCTGACAAAGATCTTTCCTGTCTCCTTGGATCTCAGCTGCAACTCTAGGCCGAACCAATCTGCAAGAGAGGACAAAGTGAGAATGTAGGGCACAGTGAACACCCTGAGGGGAAGACCATGTTATAGAGCCACCCAGGAGTAAAGACAATAGAGAAAGCCTGACCGAACATGCTTTGCCCCTGAGAATCCAACCAGTCTACCCCTCAGCAACAGATTCCATGAGTCCCTTGGCTTGTTTAGGCATACTCAATTACTGAAAGAATTTCAGAATATTAGCTCAGAACCCTTCAAGCCAAGTTTGGTGGAGAGAGCTCAATGCAATCTATTGCCTAGAAGGAACAGGAAGTGGGCACAGCGCACATAATACATTCTCAGCTAAGGAAGAATGAGCATTTTCCTCCTTAAATCTCACTGAGGGCATAGCACAGTGCTTTTAAACTCAAACAAGCATGTAAGCCAACATTAGCATCTGGTATGTGAAGATTGATCAGGTAGCTTCATGTCTGTGTAGGTGACTCCTATGATCACCATGGCACACAATCCTTACCTTGATCTAGAGGGATAACAGGGACGTCCTTGGGCCCAGGTGAGATGCAGATGACTTGGCTCCCAGATACCTGTCCTTCCACCTCAGTCAAGTTCCCAAAGGCACAGGCGATACCCTCAGAGAGGTTGGGGGCATCATTTACAACCAGGCTGAGCTGTGGGAAAAGAAGAGCTCAGGAGAGCCACGGCCCCGGCAAGGCTCCCTGCCAGGAACTATTGCTCAGGGATCTCCTTGACCTCCTCTATAAGAGAAGGGCATTGGTCTAGTGATCTTCCATTTTTGATGTCAAGCAATTAAAATGACAAATGGTTGTGTGATGTGTGAGGTCAAAGGCCTTCATAAAGATTGTTATTGTTAATTCTTCAATCTTATCCAGCATCAGAAAGCACTTGCTGCTCAAGGAAGGAGGGGATTTGTACTAATACTCATCTCAGACCCTGCTCTATCTGATATGGAAATTAACTGCAAAGCACATAGTGAGTCATAAGCTTGGGACTTTATCACAGGCTTTAGCTTGGGCTCCTGGGGATGGAAGCTTCACCAGGATGGAGGTCAGGAACCTGGCTGGTTCTACCACTCACCCGTTTAGAAGCTGTGTTCTCCAGAGCTCTGTCCTCTATTCCCTCTGGGCTTTCTACTTTCCATCAGTGCCCTGGTGTGGGGCAGGACGCTCACAAGACATACAAGGGATTAAGGAAGGTTCACTGGTGGCTAAATAATATATACTACCTAAGGACTCCATCTAGAACAGCAGTCCCCGTCCTGGCTAAGTTTGCAGAGTCTCATTTTAGTGGTAAAAAACTAGATTTTCAGCATTTGAAAAAAACGTTCTGAATTCAGGTCACTTTTCATTGAGTTTGTCCTCAGCTCCCACAATAGGCACAACGTCCCTGATTGTTTCATTAGCATTACTGGAGTCCAAACCTCCTGGTGGGTATGAATGAACTCAAACGATGGAAGGTTCATTAACTAATTAACATTCATGAATGCTCATAAAACCTTCACAATGAAATTGCACTCAGGGCCTAAGGACACAGAGTATTTTGGGTTGTACCTTGACAGGTGACTGAGGGCTATTTTTATTATGTTTAACATTCTCTTTAAGAATACACTTTGAGCAAGTCTCAGTCTTTCTTTAATCTCTCCCCTACCCACCAAACACAGTAGCAAGCTAAGGCTTTCTTGAATATTTAACAAACAGAAGACTGAAATCATACCATGTCCTAAGAATGTGCTGTTAGGTCTTGTATCATAGTTTGTTGTTGTTGTTTCACTGAAATTCTGATTAATATGTGCCGGTAGTAAAGAAATGTGCTGTGTCCCATCCTCCCTGCTGTATACTCACCAGCCGGCTGTGGTCTGATACAGAGATGCTACTGGGGTGCACCTCAAGGCTCATGCACTGGCTGATACTGGCAGCGAATCTATTTGCTTCCCACGCCCGTTGGCATTTGTCCCTTCGGGAGCACCTACATGAAGAGAGATTCATAAGAGGCCATGGCTCTACTGTCCCTGGGAAAGAGAGATTTGCTGCCCCAGCACCATAGCCTACTGCCTTGTATTTCCAGGTATTCTCACTGTATTCTCAGGTGTTCACGACCACATATAGCTAAAGATAGACCAAGGAAGAGGTATTTGTTTCCAGCCTAGATGCTGGGCAGGTATGGAGAACACCATGTTAGTACTATGGGATGCTCAAGTAAGAAGTTTGGGGTACTTGAGAAGTAGGGCTGCGAGCAAGAATTCTGTAGCTAGAATGCTAGGTTACCTGCTAGCTTGATCCCACTGGACAAGTGACTTACTCTTTCTCTTCTCTGTTTCCTAAACCTTAAAATAGCAAGGATGATGACAATATGCTGTCTTGTAAGGCTACTCTAAGGCTAAAGTAAGTTAGTACTCAGAATTCAGCCTGGCATTCAGTGGACATATCCCTGTGCTAGCCCTTGTGATAGTGATACTAATAACAATGATTAATAACATTATCACACCCCCAAGGTGTTAGCAAAGAAGAGAGGGTCTTAGCTGTGAGACAGGTTGTGTGTGATCTTTGGCTGGATTAATGACTCTTTAATGGAAGATACTATGTTTTATTCAACAAAAATTCTGTTACAAGTTATATTTTAAATAAATGTTTATGTCATGAAAGAATGCCTTAAGTCAGAAGACAGACAAAGCATGTGTCCAGGGCTGCCTCTGTCAGAAAGTCCATGTGTCCATTTCTCCTGATATCTTCATCTCTGGCTCCAGGATCCTTATCCCGTGCTGGCAGGTAAGTAACTCAGACGCTTGTGGCTACTACCTGCTCTGTTTAATGGACCAGGCTCAGGGCTGGTGCAGCTCCAAATCCAATAGCCAAACAGGACATAGCACTACTGCAATCCACAGTCAAGCAGTAATTCCTACCCTGACTCCCCAAGCTCTTCCCTTCTTCCTTTCCAAGTACATAATGGATCCAAATATGAGTGCTGTCAAAGGAACGAATTATGGAGGTTTGAGTAAATCCTTACGATAGCTTTAAAGTGAGCTCTTAACTAGAGCCTTTATCTCATTGACTCACTGAAATGGCTCTTTTTATCTTTTCTTTTTTTAATCATACTATTTATGGCAACAACTTTAACAGAGATATAATAGTCTGGGAGACAATAACACACTTGCAGGGGCAAGTCATACAGAAGAGAGAGGAGGGTTTCATTCCCCTGGGACCCAGAGGCTCCCAGTCATCAGACCTATGCATCCACCTTCCACTTCTTTGGAAGAGGCTTACAGGTCTGGGGCTGAAGTTGCTGAGTCTTCACTGCCCTGATAACTGGAAAGTCTGGGACAGTGGGTGGGAGGAAGGTCAAGAGTGTCTGCTGAAGAAGAGAAAGCTCAATAGGAAAGGTGCAGCCCCTGTCCCCATCCAAACTTGGTAGGTAGAATGGCTAGAAGGGTGTGAGCCCAGAGAGGTGGGGAAGATTCTCTGAAGACAAGTGGGAAATCTGGGCTATCTTGACTGGGCTCAGTCATTCTAGAAGACATAGCTGGCCTGGACCAAAAAGGAGGGATGAGGTATTTTGCTGATACAAGTTGGTGAAAGCAGTACTCAGGCTGAGAATAAATAATAACCACAATCTGTAATTCTACTGTGTTCTTTCTGTGTATACCAGCTGTAACAGGCACTGAAGCCTGAAGAGCAGGCAAGGAGGGAGGGTGGGGCAGGAGGCAGATGGTACAGGTAAGAAGGAATTACTGCAGGGTAAGAGGGCTTAAAGCCTGGGGCCTTCCCACGGAACTGTGACTGAACTGTCAAATTCCTCAGAGAAAGAGCGGCAGATTGTGGGGTCAGCCTCACAGAAGGTAGACAAATAGACTGGCTTTTCCATTCCTCCAGCAGAGCGGATAGCTCTAGCGTCTTGACCACCTGACTGACTTACATGGAAACTTACTGTCTAGGTTTTGTTGAGGTCGCTTTTGTAAAACTTTTTGAGAAGTCTCATGCCTCCAAAACCCAAATAAGGACTCAATCCTTTGTCAGTGGGCTCAAATCCAGTCCAGATTTTGCATCTGTGAAGCCTCCCTTCCTCCCTCCCTCCAGAGCCCTCCCAACACCTGCTGCAGAGGCTGGAAGCCAAGAGCTATTGTGCAGGACCCTGAACTCTGGCCCTCTGCCTCCGCCTCCACCCCAAACCCAGCACATTTCTTAGAGACGCTTTGGTAGCTGGCGTGGCGCCATGGAGTTTCCAACACTATTGGGCAACAGAATCCCTAGCCAGGCCCCTGCTTTAGGGCTTTCACCCTTTTCTCTTCCTCTGGGCTCTTCGAATTAGGAAGTTTAAGTGTGATTTTGCATTTCTATTGAGCTGTTTTCAATGGTGGGGATGTATCTGAATAGGGATATGAGGCTAGTTGGATGCAATGCAGATTTCTTGGAATCATGAAATAAGAGGCCAGAGGGGTCCTCCCAAGGGTGCAGAGTCCTTAATAATTATTTTGATTTGTGTTGCCTCTGATTTATTTCCAAAGCACTTATTATTTCATTTAGGTATCACTATTCACCTGTGACATAGGCACTTCCCTGTTAAGCAAAGGAGAAATGTATACCTGGAGTTGTCAGGGGACCCACCTAGGGTCACAGAGCAGTTAGCTGGAGTTCCCTAAGCTAAGTTCTAAGTTCTGGTGCTCTACCATCTGATCTGCATGCCTTACCCTAGCTTCTTGTCCAGTCACTGCAAGAGGCTTTTGGAAAATTTAGGGATTCTACAGCTGCCCTGTGATTTCTCACAGTGACGTGAGAATATAATCATGTGGTTTCAAAGTCGCTGAGAAGACGAGCAAAGGACTGAGTTCAGGAAGCAAACTGTGTGGCCTCTTCCTGTCTTCCACATCGTGTCTCATTTATAATCATTACTGCCCAGAAGAGGGAATTTCCTCCACTATCCGGTCTATCATACCAGGAAACCCCCAGTCTTCTGCATGCCGGGACCACCTCTGGAATCCCACACACTTACATGTTGTGCAGGGCACACCAGCCACAGTGAGGATCCCCTGAGCTTAGACACTCTCCACAAGTTGTGTACTGTTCACATGATTCAACAGGGACCCTGGTGACCTGGCAGAGAGAGGAAAGGGAGTACGGGAAGGTCAGGTTGTGGCAACTTGAAGGCGTGTTTCAAAACTCCCCATTACCCATGCCCCCCAGGTGTCCCCACCTCACTGCTGGCGGAGTCCGAAGAGGCTAACTCAAACCAGAAAGTGTCTGGATGGTGGCTGAGGACTCTTTGATTTTGCCAAAGGTAGAAAGGAAATCCTCTAGCCTGTTGCTCCTTCCCACCAGTGTCTTTCTGAGAGCCTGGCAAGTCCCTCGCAAGTGTTAAAAATGGTTCACTCTGCTGAAAGGCTATTGAGTGGCACAAACTCATCTCTGAAGAGTTTTCAGCTGGGCACAGGCTGAGACATCCTTCCTGCACAGCACACATGGGGCGGGGGGAGAAACTTTTCCCATCAACTAATATTCATAGCATGGCACTAGTACTTTATAGCCAACCAAGTGTACCACCTGGATCCAATTATCTCATTCTCTGAAGTCTGCATTCAGTTTCTCTAGTAAATCTCCCATTCTTTGAAAAGTCTGGCAAAATGGGAAGCTCCACAGAGAAGCACTGCCTGTTTGATTCTGCTTTGCCTGGCTAGTGGGAATTTGCAGATCAAGTGCCTGCGTCCCCCCACCCCCTTCATAAAGCACAGCTTTTGAAACCCCTCTTGATTTTCTGGAGAGGCTTGGTAAGGGCTTGAACTTTGTGTACATGGACACCACTCTCCTGCACCTGCCCAGTTCATGTGACAATAAAGGCCAGGCAAAAGGGCTAGAGGACTGGAGTTTCCATTTGACATATCTTAGGTGTCTGTTGTTGAGTGGGTAAGAGGCTTCTGAGTTGCAAAAATGCCTGCTGGGTTGGAAATACAAGCTCATTTGTTGGGCCATAGAGGACTATCACCTACTAGAAGTGTGAGCCCAGGTGAAAACATGACACTTGGTCCAATGACAGAACATTCTGCCACTGGCAGGAGATAAAGATCTGAGGGGAACATGTTCACAAAATCCTTCCCAGAAGGTCAGAATGGATCCTAACATGACAAACTCAGCGAAAGCTTATTGAATGTCAGATCTGTGGTGGCCTTGAAGTTCAGTGACAGAGAATCTACCGCAAATGGCACAGACTGAGCCCGAGCAAAGCCCAGAAGTCCACTGGTATTAGCGGTACCCAACTGATATTTGGTCTGTATGTTGCTCAGGATTGGAACCCAGGATTGGTGTTAACAGTAAGTGCCCTGGGAGTTCAAGAGAAGGGGCATCCTGGCTAATTTGTCAGGAAGATGGAGACAGCAGTTAAGGGCGAGTCTTCAAGGATATGAATGCATCCAGTTGGCGTGTTGACTCATGTCTGGAATTTTAGTGCTTGAGAGTTCAGTGGGAACTTAGGTAGGAGTGTTATCCATAAGTGACCTAGCCTGGGTCACGTAGTGAAATCCAGGCCAGTGTAGGCTACAAAGTAAAACTCAGTCTTATAAAAATGATAGGAATAGTAGGAGAAAGAAAGGGGAGAAAAAAAAGGAGAAGGAAGAAGAGAATGGTGAAGAAAGGAGTCATCAGATGGAGAGACCCACAAGACTTTCTAAGCTAAAGAATTATCATGGGCAAAAGCAGTAACAGAGAAGTTCACTCTAACTTGAACTTGTAGGCAGGGAGAGACAGTTTGCCTTTCTTTTCTCACTCATTCACCCATAGTACATCCATCAATACATGCTCAGCCTTAAAATCAAACCTCCCTTCAATGAGGAAATAAGATGTAGGGAAGGTAAGCATAAAATCTGGAAATCTGGCTTAAAAAGCAGACACTTTAAATCTAGGTTGGGAAACTATTGTCTTAAAAACCTCAAGCAGAATATATCTGAGGGTTTGGGCTGATTCTAAATCATCCCTGTATGACGTACCAGGGTGATGAAAGAGGTAAAAAGGCTATCATGGACTACCAAACAGACTTACGGTGTCAGAATGAGAAGACTCAACAGGAGACAATCAGAACTGTCTGATTTTCAATAGTCACTTTGTTCAAAATATACCCATCATGTGGATGGTGGAAGGGTGATCTTCCTTTGAGCGGCTATGAAAGGGACTCTACCCTGAAAAGAGGCTGTGATCCATTACAATTCAGATATCCAAGAATTTTATCTCTCACACTTTACTCACCACCTCTTTGAGACTATGGTTTCTTTAAAAAAAAAGAAGTTTCAATCAGGCAAAGGTAGTCAGATCTCTGTGAGTTTGAGGCCAGCCTGATCTACAGAATGAGTTCCAAAACAGCCAGGTTTACACAGAAAATCCCTCTCTTGAAAAACAAAACAAAACAATTGTGTGTGTGTGTGTGTGTGTGTGTGTGTGTGTGTGTGTGTGCCTGCACGCATGCGCCTACATGCAGGCATGCATTTGCCATGGTGCACATATAGTCAGAAGACAATTTCAGGTGTCAGTCTTTGCCTCCCACTTAGTTTGCAGCAGGGTCTCTTGTTGTGTACTGGAATACACAACAAGGTAGCTAGATTATAGGGATCTGATCTCAGTTATTCATGCATGTACAGTGAATGCTGTCCTATGGAGCTATCCAGCTGGAGACTTGAACATTTGCCAGTTGGAAGACAACATCTAGCTATCACTATAAAAGAATAATAATCCTTGAAGTCTGCTCACAGTCATTACCTACCTAGAGCTTTCTGACAGCTGCCTCCTGGAAAAATGAGTCCCACGCTCAGGCCTGATGATTCTCAATCTCTCAGGATACCTGGGACCCCAGTGCCCAGCAGGCTTCTGTTGGCCCCCTCTGGTCTACTCTGCAAGGTCTAAGAGCAGCAGTCCAGTGCTCTTCCCTTTTTTGGGTTTTGGGCTCCTTGTGAGTGATGTCTGCATCTGGCTGGAAATTAAAACAACTGTCTGCATTGCATTCGGCCCGTCTGTCAAAACACAGCCCGGCTCTCAGCAGCTGGGAAAGGGGGCCCTGAATGAAAGCAGTGTCTCCAGCAACAAAGCCCACTTTCATGCCAAGTGCCATGGAGATAGTGAAACTCTGTTCTTCTCCAAACATGAAACCAACAGCACAACTATTTTTCCTATTTCCTGGGCCCTCCTGGTGGGATTTTTTTTAAAAGGCGGAGTAAAGTGAAACAGGAAACTTAGAAAGAGGCTGGGCTTGAGAACTTGCATTATTCTTTATGTTCTCTTAGCTAGGCACAAATCAGAGGAACAGCTGTCACAGTGACTGGGAGGAGAACCTTAGAGTAAGAAGCACGCGTGGGCTTTCCCTGTCCCTCCCTTCATGTAATTTTAGTTTCATTTAGTTCTATTAGCTAACACTTGTTGATCTGGTGGTCCGTATAGGCTAGTAGTACACATTTCAGGAGAATAAAACCAAACAGCATCAAAACACAGCTACCACTGCAAGTTGTACATGAGCTGTCATAAGACCTAAGTGCTGTATTCCAGGGATAACATGAAAAAAAGGCACAGGAGACTCTGAGAAAGGAAAGACTGTGGTGTCTGCACTGACTAATAGGGTCACCATTAGCCCCTCCCCACCCCACGACTGTTGAATATTTGAGAGTACTAGTCTAAACTGAGGTGTGCTATAAATACCCAATATATACCAATCCTAAAGATTTAGTAAAGAAATGAAAGCAAATATCACACTAGGAATTTGATACTGACATCTTCAAAAATGAATGCTTTGCATATATTAGGTTAAATGAGATCTTCTTACTATTTAAAATGTAGCTACTAGGGCAGTGGCACCAATCCTGCAAATTCTGTCTATGGCCAACAGTTGGTTTCTGTCTGCCTGTGTTGTCAGGAGGTTTTTGTGTGAGTCTGTCATGGCCTGGGACTTACAGGATTAATATCTTTAATGTATTTCAGAAGGATAGATCCCAACCCATTAGAGCAGAGATCCCTAGGAGCCTGTATGAGGACAAGGTGGCAAGGGTATGAGTTAGAAAGGTGGGTTTGGGTTCCCTCGGGAAGCCTGGGGAAGGACAGAAGAGTTAGATTGTCTCTGAGATCTTTGTCTCGTTATTCACAAAAGAATATCTTTCATATATAGGATGGCTGGGAGGCTACCATGGAGCTATGGTTCTCAGTGCATGGCCCCTGAATCATAACCATGTTATCACCATAAGGTTAGACAACAAAAAGTCTGGGTCTACTCAGTGCCACCTCTCTAGTTGGCTTGCAAGTGTGCTTAAGGTGGCACGGGTGACTTAAGTTTCTTAGGACATCTTTAAATGGCAGATCCTGGGGGCCAGGAAACACCACGCCCAACCAGACAGCCCTTGGGGTGTGGCAGGAAGTAATGTGTGAAGAGTCTGGATGCAAACAAAAGAACTCTAGGGTTCTCTTCAAGCCTGGGGAGCAATGGGCTTCCCCCATTAGATTTTAAGTTTTATTTTAGTTTATTTTTTGAGAGAAGTTCTTGCTATGTAGCTTAGGCAGGCTCTGAAATCACTTTCCTCTTGTTTCTGTATGCCACCATGCCTAGCTTGGGAAATTAGGTTCTTTTAAGTCTTTGTCCCTGGAGTCTTTAAATAACCAAGTTCAAACCTGGGGTGTTGGGGGAAGTCTTATGTGGAGTCCCAGATGGCTGTCTTGCATTTGCTAGAACCGGGTGGGACCAGGCCTCAGGTCACAGGAGAATGAGCATTTTCTCCTAGAGTGGCTGTCATATGTGGAGGGCAGGGCTTTTTCAGAACTGAATCAGAGTTTATGGGACACTCCTTGATTTTTTAATCTGTGTTTGCTTATTATTTCATTTTAACTAGCCCCTCCAGTGAGTGCTGAGAGCTGAGGCTCCTGTGTTGTCTTAGGAGCTCCTAGATGAGTTGCATGGGAGAGCTCACAGAGAAGAGCATCATCTCCTGTCCCTGCCTGCCCACTGCCTCCCAGGCACCCAGGAACTGCGTCTGACTAGGTTCCACCCTCACACTCCACATTCTTTCCTGTTCGAGCGTATGTCTTATAATTGTACTTCTAATGAGTATAACTGTCCTATTAAGTCATTTACGTAA